ATTCCCCCCCCCACCCAGTTTTTCTGTCTGTCTCTCTCTCTCTCTTATTCCACTGTTACTTGTAACTGGTCCTTTGAATATTTGTCTGAGAATTCATTCATGTGGCCATCTTGACTTTGATTGTAGTTTGTTTCAAATTTGATCCACTGTGTTGATGTTTAGAATAGAGAGAACTGGCAAGGTCTGTCCCTCAAACTGTGTATATAAGAGACAAGATGTGTGTTCCCATCAAAAATACCTAGGGTCTGGAACAATCCAAGTGGGAATAGATTTCTATAAGTATCAACTACTGGAAAAACCACAGATAAGTAACATTTCATTCAAATGTATTGTGAAAAATTACCAGTTTTTATTTTGCTTGTTCTAGGCAAAGTTCGTGTATTGATAGCGACAGATTTGGCTTCCCGTGGACTTGATGTGCATGATATTACGCATGTCTTTAATTTTGATTTCCCTCGTAACATTGAAGAATATGTTCATAGAGTGGGCCGCACTGGACGAGCTGGGTAAGCCAAACTTTAAACTGTTTCTATGTTACCAAGTAGAAAATATGAGTGTTTTCTTCAGCATATTCTCGTATCTTATATCAGATGCACTAGAGTATGGGGAAATATAGCAGTCTCTCCCCCTCACAGGGATTGATCAGGTGAACAGATTTCTCTTTTTCCTGTTAAAAATAATTTATTTCAAAGAGTTTCTTAAGAAAATGAGAAGAAAAAGAAAACATATTCCTATGTTAGTATACTTTCATATATATTAAGTATTGGACTTTCCTGCCAGTCAGGTTTGCAAGAATGTTTTTTCTCGGAGTTAAGGATCCTGCTGTGAGTAGAGGGGGCGCAATAGCTCAGCAGTTAAAGACGCTGAACTTGTCGTCTGGAAAGCTGACAACAAAGGGGGTGAGCTCCCATTATTTTCCCCAGCTCTGCCCACGTAGCAGTTTGAAAGCATGCAAATGCAAGTAAATAGGTACCGCTTAAGTACAAAGGCAACTAGTTGCATTCCGTGCCCCTAAGTACATAGTCATGCTGACCTCAGCAATATCTTATTTCCTTTGTAATGATACCTCTTTCACTATGGAAGTAGAATAGTGTATCCATGGCAATGTCTTTAGAAAATGCTGGCTCCCTTGACTAAGAAACAGATGAGCACCATCCCCTAAAGTCAGACACAACTGAATAGTGGAAAACTTTACCCTTGTAAATAGATTGGGCTATGTCAGAAGGGCACAGAAGAGGATGGATTGCTTTTTTTGGATGGATTGCTTATTGCTACTCCCTTTTTACCCATTCTCACTAATCACCTGGAGCTTCAAGGATCTAAATGGCAACTGTCCCATCATTAAAGGTCTCCAAAATACCATTTACTCCAGACATTCATCTTCCTTACCCACTCCGGCAGAGGTGGCTGAATCTGCCATTTTGTTGTTCCCCCCCCCCTCCCCAAATATTTTGAATGTTGATAGTCCTATTAAAAAATGGAGCTATCCATTTGATGTTTGGCAGACATGGTAAGGCATTGTTTTTCTGTTTTATGCACAGAATAAATTATAAAGGTAGCATGTGTATTTTCCTCTCCTGCCATAATCTGCTTAACTGCTACTTGAGGAGAAACTTGATATTTACCACTGGTGCAATCTCAATTAATCAGAAAGTAGTAGTCAGTTTTTATTACTGAAGAGTCTAAAGATAGAATATGATTTAAAAATGGAACATTTTAATAAATTTAATAAATACAGATTGCTTACAGAAATATTAAAACCCAGATATGAGCTATTTCTTTGTTTGCTTCTTTTACACAGACGCAAGGGAGAAGCTATAACGCTTGTCACAAGGAGTGACTGGCGAATTGCATCTGAGTTGATTGACATTTTAAAAAGAGGAAACCAGGTAACATAACTAAGCTTGTTGTTACTTTTTTTTCCTGTTCCTTTTACCCTTATTTGATTAAAATAATATGAAACATTAAATACACATTTAAATTGAATTTTAAATTTTTACTTGAATAGTTTATATTATATGTATATCCTCTTTTTGCATGTAATTTCAAGTAGCTTAAATAAAATGTCTTTGGAAAATGTCTTTGGAAGAAGCATAAATTAAAAGTCAGGTGATAAAATTAATTACAACAAAAAGTTGCTTAAAAATAACATTAAAAGTCATTAAAGATAATTGAGAACAACATAGATGTTACCTGATATCTTAAAGAAACAGCTATGGATATGTAGGAAAGCTGTTTCAAAGTGTATGGATCCCATATAAGTATCTCTGATGGTATAAGACAAAAACACCAAGAGAAAGATTTTTCAACTGCTAGACAGTTAAATATGTAGAACAGAATGAGCAACTGGTGAAAGACAAGGATTAAGATATGTGAGGCCATGGTATACATGGGGTGGGTGAGGGGTTGGAGGTCAATTCCGAACGTTTTGAAATTTTCTTTCTAACTGAAAGAAGCCTATTTCAGTGCTTACACTGTAATTTCCATGTTTCTTGTTTAAAAGATAAAAAATCATAATCAATTTCTTGATAACCCTGCATAGTAGTAGTTTGGGCAGCCACAAAAAAGACTTATCAGGTTTTATATTTATGAATGCAGAATAAATGGTGACTTAAAATCACTTGAGATTATTAAAATCTCAAAAGCGATTTTATCACTTACCTGAATAAAAATCTAATTGGATATTTCCAAATTTGAACTTAGAACTCTTGGGTAAATATTTGCTGTATTATGGAATACCTTGTGGTTAAAACCTGTTGCTGCTACAAAATGTATGTTAATTTGCTGTTTTGTTATTTAAGTGCTAGGTTACAGTTTTTATCTTATGTTTTAAATTATATTGTTTAAAATTGTGATAGGCTTTTTTGCAAATTTCTGTATAAAGCTTAATCACATTGTTACCAAACATTTTCATATTCACTACAAATTGCAGTGTTATAGTATAACACTTTATACTTACAGTAACATGAATTTCTTGGTTTAGATATATTTTTTCCACAAATGGAAGATAATTTGTTCCTTCACATTTTCCTTTCCCTTGTAGCCTTGAATTATTTACACAAAATATCACAGGAGGAAATTGCTCAAAAATTATAAGGAACTTAAGATAACTGATTTATACTTCTGAGTTCAAAAGTCTTCTGATATAGCTAATAAGTTCAATACACTCCATATTCTCCAGAAAGACCCCCAAAACACAAAATGCTTTTCTTAACATATAGACCAGAGGTCTCCAAACTTGGCAAAGCTGGCTGAGGAATTCTGGGAGTTGAAGTCCACAAGTCTTAAAGTTGCCAAGTTTGATGGCCCCTGATATAGACAATTAAAAAAAAAAAGATAAGTTGTATCAAGTTGATTTCTGGTTTTGCAATTACTGAAGAGCTCTTCTTCAATGTGCATTTTTAGGAGTAAATGCTAAAGCCTAATTTAACTTGATTCAAACAGGATTATTAATCTTATAGAAGATATTTATAGAATATATATTACAGAATATTTTATTTTCCTGATTTTTTTTAGAGTTTATAGAAATTGAAAATGTAATAATAGCTAATTAATTATTGGTTTATCTAACTTTAATAGGTGATTCCTGAAGAGCTCATTTTGATGGCTGAAAGATACAAGCAATTCCGGTTGAAAAGGGAAATCGAAAATGGTTTAGGAAGGTCACGGGGGCGACCACAGAAAGGTTTCTAGACTACCTGGAAACAGTATAGTTAGTGCCTGTGGAAAATTCAGTGAAATGACTTGTGTGCTATTACAACAACAAAAGTCTGAAGCCTGATTTTCTTCAAGAAAAGGTGCTGTTTCAGTCTTTCTCAAACTGTATTTGGTACCAGATTTAAAATAATTTAATGTCCTCTGTGCTGCTTTGAATTCTGTGATACTATGATGACTATTTTGAAAATAATTGAGAATAAAAATACCTTTGTAACATAGTCTGGAATTTATTTGATCACATCATCTCAATTTGGCAGAGAATATTAAAAAGCTCTGTTACCTCAAAATTATTCCCTCCTCTTTAATACCAGCCATAAATTATGATGCCTTGTAATTGGTTTAAGATTGCCTCATCTGCCTTGTAAATTACTCAAGCTAGCAGGTGTTGGACTGCATCAGCTACCACACCAGTTAGCGATTTGAAAGTTTTTGGTAAGCAGGCTTTTTATTTACTTAGCTTACGGCATTTGTACATTGAGTGCCAGGGAGTCTACAATTATAGTTTTAGTTCATGCTTGCACGCTATCCAAGGTGCCATGCAGAGGGCGAACAAGCTCCACACTGAGTGGCAAACAACATTCTGCAAGAACACTGGTATCATCCAGGACTTTTTCTCCAATGATTTCGCCTTCCATTCAGGCAGGTCTGGCACCAGTTGGCTTCTTGCTGTCACATGAAACACCATTAACTTCCTTCTGGAATACTAGGTATTTACTTGCATTTTGCATGCTTTTGAACTCCTAGGTTGGCAAAAGCTGAGGGGAGTAATGGGAGCCAACTCCCTCACACAGTGCTAGGGCCAGAACTGGGCAGTACAGAAAGCAGATCTTCCACTGCTTCCATCAGCTTTAAGCTAATGAGTCGCCATAAGCATAAGGTCTGTACTTCCCTGGTGCTGCCCCTTTTACTGGATATTTCATTATTAGGTAAGTTTTGCCAGATGTTAGCCATTTTTCAATTTCACTTCCTTGCAGTATGTTGTTGAACTGCTTGGCAACCATGAGTGTTAGGCCAGTCAGATGTTTCAACCCCAAACCATGTAGTTCTCTTCACTTGGTGCTGACCAATTCTTGATCTTCCTTGCTCTTTTGTCTACCATTTCTGTTATTACATGTTCTTTCATTTCAGTTTTTTTATTCTTATTCACCTCCTTTAACCAAGCTGTGTCCTTGTTGTATTTCTTTGGGTTATCCCATATCTGCACCCAGAAGTGCACTGTGTCTTCCTTATCAAGTATTGACTGATTCACTGCAGTCTCTTCAATTGATTGGTTGGTAGATATGTTTCTGATTGGATTGAAAATGGAGATTTTGCCTATAGTTAGAATTTGAACTCCATGTCTGCTGATCTTCTTGGGAGGAAGCAGGGGGAGTCCCAAAAAAAGGAGTACAGGTGTCTTTGAAATTGAGATATCATAATTCACTGAAATAGATTAAAAACAAGCAGGTTAGTGTATTTGAAGAGAAACCACATCTTATATTGAAAAAAATATGTGTTTCTTCAGTGAAAAAGATAACTAACACATTAAACCAAACAGCATTTTTGCTGTTCAAAACTTGCCAAGTTGAAAGAGACAATAAGCTGATTAATAACTTCTCAGCAGAAATTATCAAGATTTTTCATCATAGTTGCCTTTGGAACAATTCAGCTAAGCAGATCAAAACAAGCCATCTAAATTCTACTTCTAATGCCATGAGAGAGAGTATTCTGTCTAAAATCCCTTTATGGCTGAATGTTATCGTCTAATTATGGGACCTCCTTGGCTCTTCCACATCCCTGGTATAGAATTCTTCAGAATTTGAAAAACTCATGAAAAAATTCAGAAGAAATCTTTTTCTTCACTTTTTTGTGTATGACTCCTATGTAAATCTATGAAATAACTGCCTCTCAATATGATTTTCACATTAGTTCAATAAATATGGAATCTTGTGGTTAAACATTTTTTAGTAGATATACCTGGGAATATCCTTAGAATCTATTGTGAGCTGAACTTGTCTCATGTCAAACATGGGCAATTTAGCTGTTGTGCAGAAATGCAGGTATGTAATAATGTAAGTTAACCATAAAACATTCAAACATGAGGTCTTAATTTAGCAACATTTCTGGAAGTTTTCCCATTTTATTCAGTAGCTCACCTTAGACTTTAAATATGCATTTCAGTGGTGCTCTGAAAGGAGGGTTCCATTCGCTTAAAACATAATTGTACTCTCTTTCTTTGTCTTCTATCATAGCTGTCAGCATTTCCTTCCACTCCCTGGGGGAAAGAGAAAAATAAGTGGATACAAATGAGTAGTATACATCTCATCTCATCACCAAGAATCATAGATTCAGGGACCTTGGAGGTCTTCTAGTCCAACCCCCTGCCCAAAGCAGGAGTTCTTATACCATTCCAAATAGATGTCCAATCTTTTATTGAATAAAATACCCACAGCTCTGGGAAGCAAGCTATTTCATTGATTAATTGCTGTACTACCACTTCTTGTGACCTTGATGCTACCCCGTTGATGCATCCTAGAACTGCACTGACTTTTTTAGAAGCTGCAGCACACTGCTGGCCCATAGTTAAGTGGTGGTCCACTAGGACAGCTAGATTCATCTCAGTTACTACTGTTGAGCTAGATAGTGTCTAGTCTATGCCTCTGCATTTCTTTTTTTCCTGCAAATTTACTGAGGTCCCCTTCCCTTCATCTAGATCATTGATAAAGATGTTGAAGAGCACAGGCCCAAGACAAAACCATTGCACACTTCTCTCCAGGTAAATGTAGTTTAATTGAGGACTGAATGTTGAGTGTGGTTAGTCAGTCAATTACGAATCCATCTGGTGGTAGTACTGTCTATCTAGCATTGTTCTATCTTATTAAGATGTAGGCTGTGGTCTACTTTGTCAAATGTGTAACTGAGCTCTAAGTATACTACTGTATATCCACAGCATTTAATCCAAGCTCCCTGTTTATATAGTACCTATGTTTTCCTTGGTCTTTTTCCAGCTGGCTGTTTCTCATCAGAAATGTCTTCTTCCTCTTGGGTAGGCCCTAGCAAAAAAATAATGAACTAACTAGTACTTGTAAAGCTAAACTTAACAAGAAATAAATCACTTTTGTTTTTAATATGAAAGTAATTTAAAAAGTTGTTAATTTAAAACTAAACTCACATCCTGGGCTTTCTCTACATTTCTTTTCCAAGAGTGATTTCCTCAAGGCTTGCAACTTTGCTGGCTAAAATTTTGTTTTCTTCTTCCAACTAAAATGCAGAAATGACAAGAAGCATTCATCAATCATAGAATACAAATAAGTAGACAAAAAGAGAAGCTTAAAACAGAATTGTAAGGGAAATGAATTACATCTCTTACCATGGCACTTTTTCTCAGCTGTCTGATGTTTTTCTCTTTATTTCTTTCATCTCCTCTTATTCTGTATTTTTATTTTAAAAAAACACTTGTGCTATTACACAATATTCATGAAGAACATTACATATTAAGCCACCATTGACACAGCAATTCAAGACTGGTCATTAGAAATGGCACTGTCCGTTTAAAATGCAATGAGGTGTGTTATTAGCGTAAGGAAACAGATCTTTTTGCATCTGCTTCCCATTAGCTTAAAGGAGCCTCCCCCAAAGACAGTAGTTCTGAAGGAAGGATTTCCCCCCCCCCTCTGGTACAGAGGAAGGACTGCCCTTATGTCCCCGCTCCTGCTACAGATACCTACACAAACAATATGGTTGGTTAGTCATCTTTGTCTCTTTGATGTTGCTTATATTTCTGGAGACAGTACTGCCAAAAAGACATTTTGAATAATTATTTTGTAAAAATCTGTCAGGAAGAAAAATTTAATCCTCTAGCTCTAAATATATTTTTAAAATACTAATCTTGCATATAATCCTTCTAAGAAACTGTTTTATCTCACAACTGGGATCTGGAAGGAACTATATTAAAATTTGATTTGAATTCTTAATATATATAAATGATATCTGAGGAACTGAAACAATGCTTAGGGTTTTAGTGATTTATTTATTTGTTTATTGGGAAGGGGTGAGTCTGTTGAAGTTGGTGTGAGGAAAAAAAGTAGATTTTATACACAATTTGCCAGATTGTATCCATATCATTTGAAAATAGCATGAAGACCCTCACTAATCATTGTTAATCACTATTAGGAAACAACCTCATGACATCACCTGAATTTTGCCTCTAGCCAGCTGCGGGGACAGCTGAAGTTGACAATGCCTCTGAGGTTGTGTTGATGACAGCATGGTCAGACGCTAGAATCCTCCCATCTCTAGTTTGGTGTAAGGTGACTCTGGGCCTCCTGACTAACAATAATTGCATGGATTTTATGCAACTGTTTGTACATTGTCAAGAATTCATATGGAGTCAGCTGTACAAAAATACTATTAAATCAGCCAATCTGTGCCAGTTTCTATCCATCTTTCTTCTAATACAGTTCTGGGCTGATTATCATAGAAGATATTGGTACATGTACTGTTCTGGTTCTACTGTTGAACATAGTGATGTTAAACTGAGAAATGCTTTTTTGGACACAGGATTCAATCGCAGCTTGTTCATTTACAGCCTAACAGCCCCCAAATACTAGGTCAGGAGTTTCACGTGGCACATCCAAGGGATTTGCAACTGGTTATCATCAGTATATCAGTGACTCTACATCCCAAACTGATAGATGAGCTCACCTCAGCAGCTTCATGTAGTCAAGCCACTGGGTGACTTCCTTATTTCCATCAATTGGACTATCCACTCAAGAAGTAGCAGAATCATTACTTGCTCTCAACTTCAAACCCTTGAAAGCAGTCCAGGATACTTTGCTTAATAATACTGAAGGCCCCTAGAAATGTAAACGAACCAAGCAGGACGCATTTATCCAAGCAGGTCCTAAGATTGTCATCCACCAGGGGCAACCAGTGCAATTTCTGCCAAAGTCTGAAGTCCCACCACTTTTTCTACAATTTCCCTAAAGAAATTGCCCAAAAAGCAGATAGAGAATGTGTCTAGCCTACATGTGATAGAACTCATAATGTGCTCATAGTATATAACATTATAGCGGACTATCTCAATCACTTCTTGACTCCATGTAGGCAGTAGATGTGTTGTCCTGTATGATCATGGCCATGAGATCAACCCCATGGTTTGACATGCTAACATTTCTGCCATTTTCCTTCCCAATGCGAAGGCCCTTTTCCAATCCATAGTCAATTCTTAGGGATTGAGAAGCTGCCTTTCTGAAAGTTGTTTTTCCTTCTCATTTGTGCAAAGGGGACTGTACCTTTTGTGTACAAACAATGATATAAATAAATAGGTTGTATTGGGAGCAAGTATATCATGGAGGGGACAGCATCCCCTCCACCATTTTGTTTGCACCTGTCATAGCTAAAAACAGTAAGAAGGAGGACTCTCTCCCCTGCCCCACTACTTTGGGCCATCCACCTGGTGAATTGAAAAAGGGTTGAACCTTCTCCAGTGCTAAAAAGGGACATGGAATAATGAAGCGACAATGTTCACTAATGGTTGTCTGCTGTGTGCTTCATGCCTTTGCCCCTTAACCATGACTAATGGCTAATGCAGTTTAGTGTATCATTGGGAATAGAACACTATTTACATTTTTAAGACCTGCCCATCTCCCGCCCCCCCGAGGGACTATAGGAGCTGTACAAATAAAATATTAAAAACATAAGCACCATATATAAAATTTAAATGAGGCAAGCAATGTTAAAAATTAATTAGAAATTTGAGGACTCTAACAAGCCCTACGACTATGTGCTTTTCTGTGCATCCCAAACAAGGCATAGAGCCATAGTTGCCAGCCTTTCTGGAAAGCTATCCCATGGATGTGTTTAAATTGAAGATATTAACACAAATCACCGAGAATGGGTCTGAAAGAAGATGTAGAAATATTTTTAAAATATTCAGGTTCAAAAGTTATTCTAAAAATTATTCTAAAACAATTTTGCTTGTTCCTAGATTCTTTTGATTCCTGTTTTATTTCATTATTTATTATCATTATGTCATGTTACCTGTCAAAATTTTAAATCCTAAATTCTAGAGTCAGACATGCAAGTTTACAAGTAAATAAATAAATAAAACAACACCTCTTACCTCAGAGGGCTTTCCCAGCATAATATTGGAATGTTTCCATGATGAAGTCAATGTCCTAAACTAAACTAATCCTAATTAAACTAAACAACAAATATATTAAATATCATGAAGAAATAAACAAATAAAGTGTGTGCAAACTTAATTAACAGGTGTGATGTTAAATAAGATAAAATGAGCAAACTAAATATTGTAAACTAAACCTAAGCTATATAAATGCAGTTAAATAAAAATAAAATCAGATCTAAGCTACCAGTCTGCAACAAGCAAGGATCAGTATACTCAGTGCACACACAGAGAAAAATCTCTGTGAATAGCTTTCATTTAGTCCAATTAGTTTTATTTACTTCTCTTTTGTGAGCTCATCTACCTGTCAGTATTTTTATGAAGCATGATCTCAGAAAGGAAATCAGCAAACAAGCTGATTGGCTGAATGAGTGTTACTCGGAATTTTATCTATTTTTCAATATTGGTAGAAGCGTAAGTATAGAATCCTGTTGTTGCATTGGGTGAAATTAAAGGATGAGCTAACAAGAAAAATGCCATAGAAAAAATAGTGCCATAGAAGAAAACAGGAAGATCTCTGGAGAAATATGCACAATTTAGACTTGAAAAGTGGTGCAGAGGTGCGTGAGCAGCATTGGAGAGATGTCTGATGACAGTATGGCTCTTGCTCCACCATACTTTACTTGCCCATTTCTCTTGAAAGAATTTCAGGACGGCTACGGATCTACATTTGGTGCGTCTGAAGACACGTGTCTTCTCAGTTGTGATGCCCTCCGTACAGAATATTCTTCCCAAAATTAAGTTGGCCCTATCCCTTTTGATTTTTGAAAAAGCTTTAAGAACATGTTAGATGACCAGGACTGGCATGTGCACCTGAAAGAGCAGAGGGGGAGAGTTTGGCAGTTATTAACGTAACAACTGTGCAAAAAGGTTGTAAAATGAGGCAAAACTCATTTAACAACTGTCTTACCTAGCAACAGAAATTTTGGGCTCCTTTGTGGTCATAAGTCAAGGATTATCTGTATGTATTTCATGACAACACTTTGGTGCCCAAAGTGTATTCATATGAGTCATGATAATGCCATGATTTAATTCATACAACATCATGTATCTTAATTATGCAGGGTGGGTTTATGCAACAATCTACACTTGTGATTATTAGCTAATTTGTGGTATAACATCTAATACATAGTCATTGCGGTCAGACTTCACAATAATGCTGTCCAACTCATACCAAATTAGGGAAGTCTGGATGATCAATGATAGCCTGAAGTTTGTTTTTTTTAATTATTGTTAACTGAATTGAAAAAAAAATTAACAGAAATATAAAAGGGTTCAAGGTCTGAGCACTGCACAATGGTGTGAGCTCCCATTACTTGCCCCAACTCCTGCCAACCTAGCAGTTTAAAAACGTGAAAATACAAATAGATAAATAAGTACCACTTTAGTGGAAATTAACAGTGCTCTGTGTGCCTCAGTGTACAGTCATGCTGGCCACATGATCACGGAAGAGTCTTCCAACAGTGCTGGTTCCCTTGGCTAGGAAACAAAGATGAGCATTGGCCACTAGGTCTGGACACAACTGGACAGGTGAAATCCATACCTTTTTTTAAAAAAGGGGAGAAAAAAGGTAAAGAGAAGAAACAAAAACATACAAGACACATATTTCAATAAATTAATGCCATAATTAATTGCAGACATCCATAATAATCAATTCTATAGGTTGGAGCCATATGTTTGTCTTTCTGGTGCTGAACAGTAAGTCTTTTTATTATAAATTCATTTTCTTTGTCCAAGAGTCAAAGAAAAAGATGTAATCCAACATTTATTGATTTTTTTTAAAGAAAAAAATCTTTATTAAGACACTGAAGCAAAGACAAAAAAGAATTGCATGTACATTCTTAAAGAACTTCTAAAAAAAATTTAAAAAGCAGAACAACCAAAAGGGAATTTAAAAAAATAATAGTGTGTTCTAGAAGCAACTCTCCCTTTCTGTACTGACATTTTTTCTCTCAGCTACTAATTGCTACTTATGTATTTTAATCCTGCTTTGGACATTATTAACTCATATCAAATTGGATCATTTTAATTGTTATTATTACTAGTGAAACAAGTTCCCCTGTGCTGGGACTGTCTCTTGTTTCAGACAACCCCCATATTTTAAGCCTGCTTGCCATACAGTGCATGCAACTAGTCCTTAACTTAGGGCCACAATGGAGCCCAAAATTTATGTTGTTAAATGAGAAATTTGTTAAGTGAGTTTTGTCCCATTTAAC